ACAATATAAAACTAGCAAAAAGCACAAATATACAATCCATTAAGAGTACACATAGCAGAGACAATAAAATACAGACATACCTTAGAGATACTGTAGGTTTCCATTCTATACCACTGAAAACAAGTATTGCAATAAAGGAAGTCATAATATTTTTGCTGGTGGAGGGTCTTGCCATCTATTTGTAAAGAATAAAAACATTTGTGAAGCACAATAAAACAACATGTATCTGCACTACAAAAACATTGATTAACCAATGAATATGACAAATTGACCCAAAGTTAAATATAATGTTTGATGAAGCAGTTTGCTTGGGAAATGCAAGCTCAGGGGCAGTTGTGGGGTTGGGGGTGGGGGAGGAAAAATGTATATATAGATGTATTGGGTTGGCCAAAATGTCTATTATGTTTTTTCCATAAAATAAAAGACGGTTTTCATTTTCACCAGTAGCTTTATTGATTTGGATATTTTGAGTATGTTAGCTGTCTCCCACTATTGGCTTCTAGTGGGTAGAGACTAGGCAGGGATGCTGCTAACCATCTTCCAATGCATAAGGCAGCCCACAGCAAAGAATTATTTGACCATAATGTCAATAGTACCAAGAAATTTTGCAAACCACTTTTGAACACATTTGATCAGTCACAGTACCTCCTCCATACTCTGTACAAATCTTTTTTTGCATTTCAGTTGTGTTCTTACCTTTTTGAAAGAATAAAGCATAATACACTAAAAACACCACATATTTTCTTCCATCTTCAATATTAAAATGGATGCACAAAAAAATCACCATTTAAGTTTTTTAATGCATGCTGATATGACAGCAGTCACAGTACAATCTAACAAAATTGTTTCAAATGAATTTAAAGACAGCTAAACACTACTAGAGCCATTGTAAAGAAAAAGCATAATGGACTTTTTGGCCAATCTAACATTTGTATAACTGTTCCTACCCTTTAGCCATCCTGAAGCAGTAAACTATTTTCATGTAAGGGCATTAACTGAAGTGCACTCATACTAGTGAAAATTTGGAAAGAACCTACCCACCCACAAGACCACTGACTAATTTATGATAACCCATGCACTGATTTACTATGCAGTCACTAAAATAATGTTTCAAAATGTCTTATGGAACCTGTAATTATTTCACAATGTATATGTATATCAAATTATTACAATATACACTTTAAAGATATACCATTTTACTTGTCATTTATATTTCAATAAAGCTAGACAAATGTTTAATGACTTGGGGCAGTGTTCACTATATTATGAGTAAAGGTTACATTATTTTACATAGGGAATGATTTAAGTTAACAAATCTGTAAACTAGACCGAAAATAATTACAACAAATTCTAAACTACACTAAGGGTGAGACAGGAAGGAGAAAGCTGCACAGCTCCAACATCCAGTCTACCTGCACCTGCCCATCACTGCTTCACCCCACCACTTGCCCTGAACTGCCACCATTGGACCTGCAGACAAGGCACCACCATTCACAGGCTTGCAGGAGCTATGCAGAGGGGTTGGGTCAAGGGTTCAACCCTAGAGGGAGGAGTTTGGGTGATAAGCCAACCTCTGCAAGATTCGAAGTACAGCTAAGTAGCCAGTGTGCATGGGAGGAAAAATCTTCCTCCTTCTGACTTTGAAATGGTTCTGGTGTCCTGGACCAGCTCTCTTCTCCTACAGAGGTAACCTAGTCCCAGGACGTTTCCTGTTGGGCTGGCAGCCCCACCTTCCTTCAGTCCACTAGGCAGAGGTGCTGGGAGCCAGCAGCACTGTACTGTGGTCCAGATGGCCACTGCTGCAGGCACAGGTGTCCAGGCAATGGATACTCTCCACCCATTCCCCAGGATAGAGCAGCTGTCCTGGAAGCCAAGGCCACAGGGACCTGGAGCCATGGTGCAGTGCAGATACTAGCAGAGGAATGGTGTCTCCACCTAGTGGGTGATTTTCCTAATAGGAGGATTCCAAGGCTCTAAAACTACAAATTAGATTACATTGCACTAGATCAAGTTAAGCATATTCAGGGAAGTTTAGGGATTAATCAGGAGCCTATTTGAGTTTTAGCACATGTCTTCACCTGAGTTAAATTTAGTCAAATTAGAATAATGTTTAAGTTATTTATCATGAGGTTGGTTAGTTATCTCTTAAATATTTAGAGTATATAATTTCAAGAGACACACCCCTGCCCCAAATGTCAATAAAACATCTTTGGAGACTTCATTGTTTAGAATAGTCTCAGGACTTCTGGTCAGGATAGAGGCACAAGTAGATACACCTTGCCTCCTCACACAACCAAAAGAAGGACAACAACAAATTTAAAAACAAAAAATAACCAGAAATGCCAGAAAATGGAATTGTATTGAATTTTGACAACAAAAGAGTTAAAGAAGAAACATTCATTCAGACTACTAGAAGGGGTAGAGAGGGGCAACCAGGGTGGAGAGGACATGTGGCAAGGCAGCAGCTGGTGGGCCAGGCAGTCCCACATTTGCATGTGGATAAACTGGGAGGAACAGCTGGGCAGTAAGACAGACCACGGAAACCAGGGTTCCAGCATGGGAAAAGAAAGCCTCAAAACCTCTGGGTATAAAAACCTGTGGAGGTCGTGGTGGAGGGATAAACTCCCATCCTTAAAGGAAAGTTCGCTGGAGATACCCACAGAGTCCTAGAATGTACACAAACCTATCTACCCAGGAATCAGCACCAGAAGGGCCCAATTTGCTTGTGGGTAGTGGGAGAAAGTAACTAAAAGCCAAGAGCAGAGCAGGCGTCTTTGTTCTCTCTCTGAACTCTCTGCCACATACAACTCCACAATGCAGTAATGTGGGTTGCCCTGCCCTGGAGCACACCTAAGACTCTGCTCCTTACAACATAACAGGTGCACCAGGACAAAGAAATATGACCCAAATGAAAGAACTGATGAAAACTACAGAAAAAGAACTAAGTGACAAAGAGATATCCAACCTATCAGATGCAGAGTTCAAAACACTTGTAATCAGGATGCTCACAGAAATGGCTGAATATGGTCACAAAATAGACAAAAAGTGAAGGCTATGAAAAGTTAAATAACAAAAAATCACAGGGAACAAACAGTGACAGGAAGGAAACCGAGATTCAAATCAACAGTTTGGACTAGAAGGAAGAAACAAACATTCAATCAGAACAGAATAAAGAAATAAGAATTAAAAAAACAAACGAGAAGCTCAGGAACTGTTGGGACAACTTTAAACATTCAAACATCTGAATCACAGGGGTGCCAGAAGGAGAAGAGGAAGAGCAAGAAATGGAAAACTTATTTGGAAAAATAGTGAAGGATAACGTCCCTAATTTGACAAAGGAAATAAGACTTCCAGGAAGTCCAGGAAGCCCAGAGAGTCCCAAGGAAGTTGGACCCAATGTAGCACACACCAAGGCACATCACCATTACATTCCCAAGATTAAAGAGAAAGATAATCTTAAAAGCAGCAAGAGAAAAGAAGACAGTTATCTACAAGGAGTTCCCATAAGACTATCAGCTGATCTCTCAAAAGAAACCTTGAAGGAAGGAAGGCTGGAAAGAAGTATTCAAAGTCATGAAAGGTAAGGACCTACATTCAAGATGACTCTATCCAGCAAAGCTATCATTTGGAATGGAAGGGCAGATGAAGTGCTTCCCAGATAAGGTCCAGTTAAAGGAGTTCATTATCACTGAGCCCTTATTATATGAAATGTTAAAAGGGCCTATCTAAGAAAAAGATCACCAAAAATATGAACAGTAAAATGACAACAAACTCACAACTATCAACAACCGAACCTAAAAAAAACCCAAAAGCAAACTAAGCAAACAATAGACCAGGAACAGAACCACAGAAATGAAGATCATATGGAGGGTTATCAGTGGGTATATGGAGTGGTGAGAATGGGGGAAAAATTACAGAGAGAATCATAAATGTTTATTTCATGTCTACAAAATAGACAGGAGGAATTTAAGTATAGTATACGAAATGAAGAAGCCAAAGAACTTAGATGTAGAATGCATGAACATGAACTAAGGAGGAAGGGCACGCTGGGGGACGGGTGGTGCAGGAGGGAGGGAATTAAATGGAGAAAAAGTTGGACCACTGTATTAATATAATCAATAAAATATGTTTTTATAAAACAAGATTAGTCTGAGGTTGGCCTGTTCTGTGGGGAAAAGTGAGGCTACTTCTTTCTTATGCTCACAACTTGAATGCCCTGTAATTCTGCCTGTGAAACATTCCTAATTCCTAAATGATACTTTAATTTAAAAAGCATGATGTGCACACTGTATAAAAAATAGTCTAAGAGTGATTTTAACCTTTTTAATTTCTTTGCACACATAAACAAATTGTTATTTTTGCCAACCTGACAAAATAAATATCATTTTTATTTATTTCAAAACATAAGTAATAGTAATTATATAGACTTTTTTCTATTCCCCCAACATTTAAAAATTAAATTTATTGGAGTGACATTGGTTAATAAGATCATATAGTTTTCAAATGTACATTTCTATGATACTATATTTATATATTGCACTGTCTGCTCACTTCCCAAAGTCAGTCCATCTTCTGTCACCATATATTATGTCCACCTTCACCTTCTACCCTCCCCCACTGCCCTCGGCAGCCACCACATTGCTGTCTGTATCCATGACTTTTAGTTTTATACTCCACATATGAATGAAATCATATGGTTCTTAGCTTTTTCTGAATGACATATTTTGCTTAGCATAATATTCTCAAGCTCCATCCATGTTGTCACAAATATCAATATTTTGTTTTTTCATATGGATGAGTAGTACTCCACTGTGTATATTTATCACATATTCTTTATCTTGTCCTCTATGGGAAGGCACTTTGGTTGTCTCCAATACTTGACCATGGAGAATAATGCTGCATTGACCATAGGGGTACATACATGTTTTTTAGTGTTTCAGGTAGATACCCAGGAGAGGGATTGCTAGGTCATATGGTGACCATACTCTTATTTTTTTTAGGAATCACCAGACTGTTTCCCATGGTGGCTGAACCAGTCTGCATTCCCACCTACAGTGAATGTAGACAACCTCTCCAACACTTATTATCACTTGTCTTGTTGATAACAGCCCTTCTAACAGGTATGAAGTAGTTACTCATAGTAGTTTTGATTTGCATCTCCCTAATAGCTAGTGAGGCTGGACATCTCTTCATATATCTGTTCACCATTTGTATGGCTTCTACAGAGAGGTATCTGTTCAGGTCTCTTGTCCATTTTCAATTGGATTGTTTGTTTGGTGTTGAGTTTTATGAGTTCTTTATATATTTTGGATATTAAACCTTTGTTGAAACTGTTGTTTGCAAATATGATCTCCCATTCTGTCAGTTGCCTCTTTGTTTTGTGGTCAGTTTCTTTTGCTGTGCAGAAACTTTTTTAATTTAATATAGTCCCATTCATTTATTTTACCCTTACTTCCCTTGCCTTTAGAGTCAAATTCATAAACTGTTCTCCATAACCAAGGTCCATAAGTTTGGTACCTAAGTTTTCTTCTATATAACTTATTGTTTCATATCTTAATTTAAGTCTTTGATTCATTTTAATTGATTTTTGTACATGGGGACAAACTATAACCTAGTTTCAATATTTTGCATGTGGCTTTCCAATTTTCTCAACACCTTTTATTGAAGAGGCTTTTTTTCTTCATTGTGTGTGTCTGGCTCCTTTGTTGAAAGTTATTTGCCCATATATATGTGGTTTTATATCTGGGCTCTCAGTTTTGTTCCATTGATCTGCATGACTGTTTTCTGCTAGTACCATACTGTTTTGATTATTGTAGCTCTGTATAAATTGAAGTGAGGTAGGGTGATATATCCAGATTTGTTCTTTTTTCTCAGAACTGCTGTAGCTGTTTGGGTTTTTGATGGTTCCATATAAATCTGACGATATTTTGTTCTATTTCTTTATTTTTAATTTTCCTTTTTAAAAACAATTTTATTGTTTTTGTCTCCATTACCATTTATCCCCCTTATATCCACCTACCCTCTGCAATCTCCACACCATTGTCCATGTCTGTGAGTCCTCTTTCCTTTTTACTTGATCATTCCACCCCCTAATCAGAGCTGTCAGCCTGTCTCTATCTGTGCGTCTGTCTCTATTTTGCTCACATATTCAGTTTGTTCATTAGTTCTACATATGAGTGAAAGCCTATCGTATTTGTTTTTCTCTATCTTATACCACTTAGCATAGTGTTCTCCAGGTCCATTAATGGTGTCACAAAGAGTAAAACTTTCTTCTTTTTTACAGATGAGTAGTATTTCATTGTGTAAATGTAACACAGCTTTTTTCATTCATTCATTTACTGATGCACACTTGGGCTGCTTCCATATCTTGGTGATTGTGAATAATGCTGCAGTGAACATAGGGGAGCTTATGTTCTTTCAAATTAGTGTTTCAAGTTTTCTCAGCTACATACCCAGAAGTAGAATCTCTGGGTCATAATGCAGTTTCTTTTTTAATTTTTGAGATATGTCTATACTGGTTTCTACAGTGGCCACACATATCTGCATTCCCACCAACAGTGAGAAAGGGTTTCCCTTTCTCCACACCCTGGCTAGCACTTGTTTGTATCAATGGTAGCCATTCATAACAGTGTAAAGTATTATCACATTGTGGTTTTAATTTGTAGTTCTCTGATGATTAATGATGTTGAGAACCTTTTTGTATCTCTATTGGCCATCTGTATATCTTTGGAGAATTATCTATTCAGGTCCTTTGCCATTTTTTATTAGATTGTTTTGAGTTTTTTGGTGGTGAGGTTTATAAGTTCTTTATGAATTTTGGATATTAACTCCTTATCAGATGTATCAGTGAATATGTTTGCCCATTCTGTGGATTGTCTTTTTAGTTTGTGAATAGTTTCTTTTACTGTGTGAAAATTCTTTAGTTTGATGTACTCCCAGTTGTTTATTTTTTTCTTTTGTCTCCCTTGCCTGAGGATATATATCAGAAAAAAAAATTCTACAAGCAATGTCTGAGACTTTTTACTATGTTTTCTTCCTCTTTTTATTTTCAGGGATGATATTTAACTTTAATCCATTTTGAATTATTCTCGTGTGGTTTGTAAGAAGTGATCTAGTTTAATTTTTCTGCATGCGTCTGTTCAATTTTCTCAACACTATTTATTGAATAAACTTTAGCCCATTGTATTTCCTTGCTGCCTCTTTCAAATATTGACTATAAAAATGTGGGTTTATTTCTGGGCTCTCTATTCTATTCCACTGATCTATGTGCCTGTTTTTATGCCATGCTATTTTGACTGTAGCTTTATCTTAAGTAGCATGATTCTTCCAACTTTGTTCTTCCTTCTCAAGATCACTATTGCCATTCAGGGCCTTTCGTGGTTCAATATACATTTTGAAATATTAGTTCTAGTTCTATGAAATATGTCATTGTTATCTCATAGGAATTGTATTGAATCAAATAGATTGCTTTGGGCAGTATGGACATTTTAATGATGTTGATTCTTGGGGTCCATGAACACAGTACATGCTTCCACTTATTTGTATCTTATTTGTATCTTCCTCAATTTTTATCTTCAATATCTCATAATTTTCTAAGTACAGGTCTTTTACATCCTTGGTTAGATTTATTCCTAGGTATTTTATTCTTTTTAAAGCAATTGTCAGTGGAATTTTTAAAATATTTCCCTTTCAGATAGTTCATTATTGGTATATAAAAATGCAACTGAAACCTGGGTGGTGTGGCTCAGTGAATTGAGCACTGGCTTGTGAACCAAAGGGTTGCTGGTTCAGTTCCTAGTCAGGGCATGTGCCTAGGTTGCAAGCTATGTCCCCAGTAGGGAGTGCTCAAGAGGCAACCACACATGGATGTTTCTCTCCCTCTCTTTCTCCCTTCTTTCCCCTCTCTCTAAAAATAAATAAATAAATAACTTTAAAAATAAAAATATAACTGATATCTGGATATTAATTTTATATCCCATTAGGTTACAGAATTCATTTATTATTTCTAGTAGTTTCTTGGTGGAGTCTTTAGGGTTCTCTATGTACAATATCATATCATCTGCACATAAAGACAGTTTTACATCTTTGTTTCCAACTTGGATAACTTTTATTTCTTCTTGTCTGATTTCTACGGCTAGGATTTCCAGTACTATGTTGCATAAGTGGGCATCCCTACTTGTTGCCAATCTTAAGAGGAACACTTGTCATTTTTGCCTGTTGAGTATGATGTTGGCAATGGATTTGTCATATATGTCCTATATAGTTTTGAGATATGTTCCCTCTGTTCCCACTTTGCCAAGATTTTGTATCATAAATGGATGCTGCATTTTATCAAATGCTTTTTTCTGCATGTGTTAATATGATCATGTGATATTTATCTTTCATTTTATTTAAGTGGTGTGTCACATTTATTGATCCATGGATGTTGTACCAACCTTGCCTTTGTAGAATAAATCCCACTTGATAATGGTGTATTATCTTTTTTATGTACTGCTGTATTTGATTTACTAATATTTTGTTGAGGATTTCAGCATCTATGTTAATCAGGGATATTGGCCTATAGTTTTTTTTGTCATGCCTTTATCTGATTTTGCAATTAGGATAATGCTGACATTGTATAATGAGCTTGGGATTCTTCCCTCCTCTTGAATATTTTTACAAAGTTTGAGAAGGAGAGGTGTTAGTTCTTAGAATGTTTGGTAAAATTCACACTTGAAACCATCCAGTTCAAGGCTTTTGTTTGTTTGGAGGTTTGTTTGTTTGTTTTATTACTGATTCAATTTCACTAGGTATAACCTGTCTGTTCAGATTCTCTGATTTTCCCTGATTTTGTTTTGGAAGATTGTATGTTTCTAGGAATTCATCCATGATGTCCAGATTGTCCAATTTGTTGACATATAGATATTCATAATATTTTAATTTCCTTTATTTCTTTTTTTGTATTTAAACATTCTTTGTATCCTTTGTATCTTTGTATTTAAGTCCTTTGTATTTCTTTGCTGTTAGTTGTTATTTGTTTTCTTTTATTCCTTATTTTATTTATTTGGGTCCTGTCTCTTGATTCTTTTTTTCTTGATGAGTTTAGTTAAACGTTTGTTGATCTTATTTATCTTTTTAAAGAGCCAGCTCTTAGATACATTGTTTTTTTTTTGTATTGCTTATTTTAGACTCTTTAATTTATTTCTGTTCTGACCTTAATTATTTCCTTCCTTCTGCTCACTTTGGGCTTTGTTTGTTGTTATTTTTCAAGTTCCTTTAAGTATAAAGGTAGATTGTTCCTTTGAGCTTTTTCTTATTTCTTGAGATTGGCCTACAATGGTATGAATTTTCCTCCTTGAGCTGTTTTTCCTTTGTCCCACAGATTTTGGGTTGTTGTGTTCTCATTTTCATTAGTTTCAAGGGATCTTTTGATTTGTTCCTTGATATCACTTTTGACCTGTTCATTGCGTAATAACATGTTATTTAGTTACCATGTCTTTGTGTAGTTTTTAATTTTCTCCTTGTGATTGATGCTTACTTTCATGGCATTTTCATTAGAGAAGATGTTTGATATGATTTCCATCTTTTTAAATTTATTGGTACTTGTTTTGTATCCTAACTTGTGTCTATCCTAGAAAATATCCCATGTGTACTTGCAAAGAAAGTATATTCTGCTGCTTGGGTCGAAATGCTCTGTAGATATCAATTAAATCCATTTGATATAGTATGTCATTTAAGGTTACTGTCTCCTTATTGATTTTCTGCCTGGTGGATCTATCTATTGAATCAGTGGGGTGTTAAAATCCCTTAGTATGACTATAATTCTGTTGATCTCTCCTTTTATGTCCCTCAATATTTTCTTTATGTATTTAGGTGCTCCTATGTTGTGTACATAAATGTTTGGTACAGTTATATCCTCTCATTGGATTGTTCCCTTTATCATTATGTAGTGTCTTTATTTGTTGCTAGCTATAGCCTTAGTTTAAGTTCTATTTTGTCAGATATAAATATTGCTACCCTAGCTTTCTTTTTTTCCATTTGCATGAAATTTTTTTTCTGCCCTTTACATTTTGTCTATGTGTATCTTTTGTTCTGAGGTGGGTCTCCTGGAGAAAACATATATGAGGTCTGTCTGATGGCT